AATCCATACGTCCTCACGCACCACCTGCATTTTCTCTGTCTAGTAAGTTGCCACGTGCTTCCACCAGCCACCACAAGCTCTCTTTGAATTCTGATTCACCGTGTCAGCATCCCCGAGTAACAACAGACCCAGTCAGCGCCGTCTGCCAGCCTTTGACATCATCGGTTCTGTAGTTTGACCAATCGGTTCAGCATCATTTGGTCCAGTTCTTCACGGGTCAGAAAGTTCTTGGGTTTTTTTTGATAGTGCTCTTTCTATTTCCAGCCTCGTTTTTCTTCAGTTCTGACTACATACTTTAGTTTGGTAACTGGCAACACTGATTCTACATACTTGCACATTCAAATTGAGTGAGTCTCAACATAATGCGACCTCATAATCCAAACTCCAGTAACATTGTCATGGTTCCTACATCTACAAAACGTAACGCATTTGTCACTGTTGTCATATACCAGGGTCATCATATTCAAGAGTGTAGAAAGAGATTGAGACAAAATTCAAAAAACCAATCATTTAAGACTGCAGATACTATGTCCCCGAGGATTCATCATCAAACAATAGTTCACATGTTCATAGTCCTTAATAAGGTTGATTTTGACCCTACCAAAGAAACCATGGATAAGTCCGATACTTCTCATATCCTCTCTGTCATCCTAGGCAAGTCTCAATCTTGGTTCTTTGACTCTGGCTTCTGTCTTCTGTAATCACATGAAAAAATAATCATTCTTTGTTCATATTACATAAACTTACTTCTCATGCACCTACTATTCATACTGCGGATAATTATAAAAAGCATGTAAGTCATACAGGAAATATTGTGATAAGCCTCCAATCAGGTATATGCATTCTAGAAGAGCTCGGAAGACTTGAGAACCACCCTGCAACAGATGCGACAGAATTCTGTTAACCAGACCAGCTGGCTTGGATAAGTAGTTACAAGTAGGTTCTAAATAGAGAAGAGGGAGGGAGGAATGAGCAGGCATTTTTAGAGAGTGAGTGAGTGGTATTTTGGAGATCCCAGCCATCTGCAGGCTTGGTTATATGTCTTAACTGTAATCTGTTACTTTTCAATCACAGTAGTTCTTTCATTTCTCTGTTTTTCAATTTTCCATATGGAACCCTATCATATTTTCACCTCTACTCTAAGACTGTTGGGAAATTGTATGAAGTCTGAGATGAAAGCCACGAATCAAACCAGAAAATGAAGTACACTAAACCAAGAATCAAGTGCGAAGATGAAAAACCAAAGGCTTAAAAACGATATCGTTGTCCTCAAACTATATTTGCTCCCTCTCGGATTGAAAACTATGCTTGAAGGGATTAAGACAATTGGTTTGCAGGACTAAACAAATCTTGTAAAGGATTTAACACTCAACCATTAAGTGAAATCCTCCAAAACTTGAAGAACACAATGAAGAAATTTGAATATGAAGAAGAAAATGGTTAATTTCTATGCTTTGTGGAATATATATTGTTCAATAATGATTTTTCATCATCTTGCCTTAAACATGGAT